GTGCAGCACATAGTCGAAACACACCGGGCACCGAACCAAGCCTTCAGCTCCGGGGCAGGTCCGGGAACCCCAGAGCGACCGGACCGGACCCGGTGACTGTAGTCTGGACACCGACGGCCTTGTGCTTCCCCCGGCCTGCCTTACTGGCCCCCATCCTCCAGCTGAGGATGGGCGGCTCATGGCTCTCTGCTGAGGTCGGGTCCAGTCAGCGTCCCTAGTGTCTTACATCTTTGCGACTTCTATTCATGTTCTTGGGCCTGTGAACCAGTGGGCTGGTGTGTATGTAAATTTTTGGGAGTGACAAAAGTACAGGCCGCAACCAAATAAGGCAACATCCCTGAGTTTACGTCAACTCGGCACTTCGTTTGGATTTGCCTGTTTTATGGTGGTAGGTTAGAATTGTGACATTTGCAGAGAAAGGAGGTGTCGATGGGGTTTGAACTTCTCTGTACGTCCATTTCACCCACTGAACTATCGTTATTCACGATGTCAACTCTTTTTTGCATTCTATGACCCCTTTAAAGTTTTGCAAACTAAAATAAAAAAAAGTGCATAGTAATAATGGCCGCTTACCATGTACCATGATTCAGGTTGGTCTTTAATTCAATTTCTCACGGTCTGTAAAATGCAGTGTGATTCGTGGATTCTCTGTTACTTTGGTCCAAATTTTTAGACAAAATGTCATTCTTATGTCATTGATATTTTAAGCTGAACCCAGGAGGGATCCTGCATAATATCTTTATATGATAGGAGGGCTGTTTCATTTTACAAAAGACCTTTTTTTTCTGTCCCCACAGGAACAGCTCCCAGACCTTTGGGCCCACTTCCAGGAGCTGAACCTGGAAGCACACATGTATGCCTCCCAGTGGTTCCTCACCCTCTTTACGGCCAAGTTTCCCCTCTGCATGGTTTTCCACATCACTGACTTGCTGCTTTGCGAGGTAAAGGCAGCTAAAAGCGGTATACTTGGAGCATTGTGAGATGGATTTAGGCTGCATTGTATGTATAGAACTGCTTAATGGGAAATTCAACCATCTGGAAACATGAAATCGAAAGGTTAATAGCAAGAAAGAGGTGCGGCAGACATTAGTGGTTTAGCTGCTATTATGGATTTATTAGCTGATTACAAATGGGAAAGATAGAGATGCACAGAGGAAAAAAACATTGGTCGGAAACTATTACCAGCTCTCTGTGGCCTCAAGTACAGAGCTGAGCAGAAAATTACAAATAACATCATTGGTATACATTTTTGTTTTGGGAACCTTAAATTATGATCTGATTGGATATCTGATGACTCTTTTGATCAAAACTGGCTCAGTTTATTAACTATAGTAGGTACAAGCCTCCCCCCTGCCCTTTAGGCATAATACTCATTAACAATAGGTCTGAATTTAGGGCTCTTAGGTGGGGATTTAATTATCTGTATTTGTGATCCTTTTCATTTTGAAACATCTAATTCTGTCCGAGTTCTAACAATAAGCTACTGATTAACGGTATAGTATATAATTCTTATTTCATGGCATCTGGTTCTCTCCCATCCCAATGCAATTCACTAATACCATTCCAAAATGTGAAATAACAAACCTGGACTTGTTTTCCATGTTTGAAGACATTTTGCTTCCCATCCAGAAAGCTTTCTCAATTTCAAAATGTCTGGAGTAGCGTTGAGTTCCAGGCTTATGGAGTTGCCCAAACAAAAGCCTTGTTATGGCTTAGAAAACATGCATATTGAATCAAAAAATAAGTCACCCCTTGTAATGGGTAGTCCTTAAGGTCGTTGTCGGCCTGCAAAGCTGTGAACTGGACCCCTCAGCATGACTAGTAATACATTACAATTAGTACTGAGCTAGAACATTTATAGCCTCATCTGGACTGTTTTAATCATACTAATATTTAGGCCACACAGCTAATGTTAGTCTTATTTGAGGTCTGTCAAAACATATCTAGAGGACATCTAGCCATGCAATTTGATCTACAACAAACTTTAGTCATTTTCGAAGATCAGCTGGTTCCTTCTCAGTCCATGGCAAAGTACCGTAATACTAGGTTCACTATTGTCATTGAAACTGTTTTATTAGGCTAAGATGAAACTTCTGAAACGGCTCTGTCTTAACCCCACTGAAAAATTATGTAGTAACCTGCGAACTGAGATTTGTACCATTTAACCATTTGTACTATTTAAACCCGTGCATCTCATGTTTCTATAGGCTTTAAAGGTTCACTCTATAAATGATGAATTAAAGTTCATATCATTAATTCCTTTATTTCTTCAGAAAAAATCTATGTTATTCTACCTTATTCCTAAAACTTTGTTTTTAGAAAGTTTCTTTGCACAAACGACCAATATTAAATATGTTTCCCCATCTTCCTGCTGTCCCTATGCTCCCCTACAATGTCTCCACCTCCCTTCCCTCTTTTTCCTTTTGTTGCCCCGAGGCAGAACAATTAAAGGTTTCCTTGTTATTTCTTGGCCAATGAGCTGCATGATGACAACATGCCTGTAAAACCTTAGCTCTCGTATTTAGCTGGAACCCTCCTCCTCTTTAGTTTTGCCCTTTTCTTACACTATTTTATTGAACAATAAATTTGCATTATAAAAAAAGAAAGATGAATATTAGAAATGCTCGATCACTTTACTTATTCTATTTTTTTTAGCAAAAGTCTTCTTCTAATTTTACATTCTTGTTTTTATAATTTTCTTGATCTAAGTGTATACATGTAAATGTCAGCCTAACCTAAAAGTTGTGTTTTATTCAGTATTTCTTTTTTTATATTCATTTAGAAACCATAACCCAAGGCCAAAACCCATTTTATGTCTTTTTTATTCCCTAGCCTTGCTGGTTCTGCACAATTGGACTCACTTTTGTGTTTGTGAAAACTTCTTAACACACCCATACCGTGTCCTTCCCCTCTCTGCATATTTGGCTTTCATCTCTTCTGATTCCACCTTGCTGGGATGAGTTGGTATTTCTTTCCTTCATACGCTCCTTTGATCTTGGCTCAGCATGGTAGCACCATCTTCAGGCCCACAAAGATCGGTGTGTGGAGGCAGAGCCCATCCTCTTTTCATTTTCTTCGGTTATTTTTGGAGCTCTGCGGATATTTTTAGCTCCATGTTGCCATGTGAACTGGTTGTCCCAGAGACCAAGGAGAGAGGGGTGTTCCCTTGCAGAGCTGGCTTTGGTACATCTTCTTTGTGTCAAAATTAAAAGAACAGTCACAGTAAAGAAAGAGGTTAAAAAATTGGGTTTCACTGAGGTCATGGAGATGAAGCACCGAATGAAAAAAGAAATTGTTTGTACAAGAGTGTGACTATATATTCAGTACAGATGGGGAAATCCTGCATGCGAAAAAAGAAAGTTCATCTTAATGTTTGATTTTTTTACACCTGCTAATGATAACTTTTCAATCAATAAATGAGCACAGTGAAGCCACTTTAAACTAAAAAAAGTTGAAAGTTCTGAATGTGGAGGATGTTGAGGAATATAGGTCCTATTTCTATTAAAGGTGCCATTTATTCATGATGTAAATTAATGTTTTTAAAGCAGAATTTTATTAACACAATAAATTTTCCCACTCTTTCTGATTTTGCAAAATAGATAAAAACTTGGCATGTTTCTATTATGCTTTCCTGACTATCATATATTATCAAACCACAATCACAAGTTTGCTTTTGAAAATGGTCCCTGAAGTGATCTGTAATACTGTAAACTGTGTACAAGACTCTATAAAACTATGAAAAAACCCAATTTAGTTCTACTGTGACCACTGCCTTTTTAACAGCAATGAGTTTTGACATTATTTGGTTATACCTAGCCCTGTCACGATAACAAATTTTGCTGAACGATTAATTGTCTCAAAAATTATTGCGATAAACGATAATATTGTTTTAGGACCTTTTTAAACTGATTTAATGGAAATGACGTAATAATGCATGTGATTTCCTGCCAAAGATAAACACACTTTATTTTCAACAGAACACTTAACACTGGAACTGGTTAACAGAATAAAACGAGAAATAAAAATCAAATGGACTCTCAGTCTCTGTTAACTAAAAATACACTTGAATAAAAACTAAACACAAGATAAAACCAAAGTGGAAATAAAAACTACATTCAACCAATAGAATACACATAATGAAGTCTGTCTATCATTAGATTTGAAAAAAGATAGGCTTTTCAACAATATTAAATGGGAGCCTCTCTTTAGCACTTAAATGAACTACGCTGTCTGTGAGCACACGCCACTTTGCGCCGTCCTTTTTGTATGCTGCCTGTCAATTAATTGCTTGATGGATGGTGGTCTGTCGCGAACTTGAAGACGCAGACGGGCCACCGCTTGTACTTTTTGTCCCCAGCTGGAGAAACTTTGCTGGGTGGTTGTGCTTTAGGTGCATGGGTAAAGTAGGTTGGTTGTATTGCTGCTCTTAGTTGCTACTGTTTTATGACAAATAGGACATACTCGCTCGTATAGGTTCAGCGGTTCACCTCGGTCATTTGGTTTGAGGTTTGAATCCACAATACTCCCACACTGCAGCTGTTGCATTCGGCTTTGAAACCAGTTCCATTTCGAGTTTTTCCCCCAACATAAGGTGTGTTTTTTTTTACCTCACTAACTCCTCTAACTCCTCATGGGGCTGTAAAGCTGCAGAAGTACAAAATGATGCGCGCTGACTACCTGATGCGATAGTCTCCTCCTTCTTCCCTACTCATTTATTCCCTTGCTAAAAAATGAGGAAGGGGAGGGGTCAGTGGAACGCACCGGAGTTAAGCTTCGTCATCCAGCGTCATCAATAGAAAGAGAAAAACACAGGCAGAGACGATATAGCCGATAATTTATTATGCAATTAATTGATTTATTGATTATCGCGACAGGCCTAGTTATACCATTATAAAATATTGTGTTATGGAAAGATTAAAGGATATATATGGTTTAGTAGTAGAATAGTCTCTTCTATTAGTCTAATAGCCTAATAGTCTAATCTCTCTATATTTATTCTTATTTAATATGTGTCGTCTTTGCTTCACCCCCAAATAAAATTATAAAATTCTTAATGTTAAGTGAAATTAAATATTTAAAGAGATTTGATACTTTTGTAGGGAAGTATATTTCAAGTTTTTCAGTAATATACAATAGCCAAAGCATTTTACTACTTATAAGTACCAAGCTGCAGACATGGTTTAAAATAATCTAAGTTCAAAAATACATAAGATCCATTGTTCTGTGGGTTTTGTATGACACACAGGCAAACTTGAATAAGATTTAAATCTGTAAAAAGTGCTTGGATTTTGTAATACAGCATTTCAGATCTTGTCTCCCGTCTTATTCGTGGAGGTTAATATTCTGAGTAAGTTATTCCATAAAATTATTGTTTTATATTTTTTTCATATTAGAAGATGAATTTAACAACTCTAAGCCTACAAGCCACAGCCATGGATTTTTTCAAGTCTTGTTTTAGTACATAGTTAAGCTGGATGGAAGCTATTTAAATGACCAAACAGCGTCTAACAACGATTAATCCCACACTACTTCGACCATAAACTCATTGGGGGAAAGGAAACTTTTGTTGATATTGTCGTCTTCTGTTCTACTTTAAAAAATATACAAGTGTAGGATATAATTCTTATGAACTGCAATAGGGGCCCTTTAAAGCTGAAAAGCTGAAATCAAAGTTAGAAAATAAAACCGACTACCCAAATAAGTCTGAAACTCTAATTGCTCAAGTCTGAAACTCTAATTGCATTAAATAAAATGTTTTAATCTTTTCCAAGCCTGCAAACACACAAACATGAAGGTTATGTCTATTTTGTTTCTACCTCCTCTTACATTTTTGTTCTCTGTTTTAAAGGGATTAAGTATCATCTTCAATGTGGCCCTGGCCCTGCTCAAGGTCAGTAATGCATCTATATACATTTATTTAAATCTAACATCTCTTATTTTGCTAGACAATAATAGAAACGCATGTTTTGTTTTAAACCTTTTCTGACTGCATATGCTTCATTTGTGCTCCTTAAAGTTTATGGTTACCACAGTCATGTTCCTCTTGAAGTCAAATGAAATCAGATTTTTGGTTTCATTATGTAACATTTGTCGCCCCCAAGTGTACACAAAAATAACTGCATCTAGATATCAGAAGAGAGAATGTCTTTACACTTTTGCAAGAAAAATTGCAATTTATTAAGAAGACACTGAAAACAGCAACTTTTGTCTTTTATCTGGCTGCTAATAAAACCGATTACATAGATAAGTTTATTGTCTTTAACCAAAATCTTTTGAGATAGCCATATAAACTGCTGAGCAGGCTATATATTGTTTTAATAGATAGAGAAAAGGTTCTAGCTTAATGCTTATTGTATTATCAGATGTTAATGGTTTGCATTGGATTAGGTGTCATATTTCTTGTCTGTATTTTGCTGTTTGTAGCCGTATAAAGGACATCCTGTTCTTTGTTGATACACAATAAGGGTGTGAAGATACACAATAAGGGTGTGAAGATACACAGATAGGATGGTCCATTTTATACTTAGGATAGAAGATTTTAGCTCTGTTTTTTTCTAATTAGAAGATACAGAGTTTTCCCCTTTTTTGAAATTGTTTTAAATAAGAATGTTTAAATGCATTGACAATCTTTCGATTTTAAAATTTAAGAAGAAGCCAGATTAGAACTTACTTGAGCAATGGTACCTAAATAGACCATAGAAGGATAATGCTTTAATGTATTGAACCAGGAGAGTCCCATTGAGATTAAAAACATTTTCTACAATGGAAACATGGCAAATTGGCAGCAACAATTAAAACACAAAAAGCCAAAAAAACAAACAAACAAACAAACAAAAAAAAATGGTACAGGCCATTGAACCATTCTCCATAACTTTTTGTTTCAAAATAAAAGGCACTCAATGAGATAAGTTTAGTTAATTTAAAAGTTTTCTGCAGCAAGTTTCAGGAGGAGGGAGCTGAGAAAATTGTTAGGAAACATCTGGAAAAACTCCTGATCTGAATTTCTCTGCTGCATTTGGGCTGGTTGAATGAAAGAAGCTGCTGGATTTGGACTTAAGTCTATTTCTTTTAGAATATTTGATTTTTCTATTTTTTTATTATTATTGTTATGTATTCTGCTTTTTACTTTTATTATGCTTCTCATAATTCTAGTTGAGTAATTTAGTACTTACCTTATCAATGTTGATGGTATAAATCTTTAGTTCAGTCCACTATTATTTTTCTTTGCCGTTTTGTCAGCTGTGGGTTTGGCTTTGTTATTGTTTTATTATAACTGCTTAGCCTAACACATACAAATGTGAGGGTTTTTCCTCTCATTTCCTCATCAATCCTGTATTTTTCACCTGCAGCAGCAACAGTGTCCTATATTACTCTAATGCACAATTCAAAACTTTGAAATTAACTTAAGGGATCTTATGTTAGCTCAGCTGGAACAGGAAGCTAACATCGAGCAGCTTAACCACATATTGCGGTCTTATTTGACCACAGTCATCTCTTTTGGGTAGTAGAGTCAAGCAATGCTGTATTCTTTCTCACCAGTGAACCAAAAAGTCTTTACTAAAACCTTTTCAGTATACGTGTATCATTGCATATCTAAAGCACTGCTGATAGGCAGAATACAATCTGTGTCTCTGTTACTTTTCATTTAATGTCATTTTTGTTAATCCAACTGTATCATTTGCTTCATTTTATCAGATGATATAGTAAAGATAATACAATAACTAGTTATAATTGTGTTAGCTCTTTTCTTGTGAGTTAAGATTCAAAAAGTAAGCAACTGTCTAATATCCTAGATGGGAATTGAAGCTCCTGTTTCGGTGAAGCAAAAATATTATGTTACGTAATCTATCTCTAGCTATGATTACAGTAGTAGATGACAATATATTAACATTGTTAGAAATCTTTTTCCATTTCAGAGTCTAATTGTTTTTACCTCAGGATTTTAAAGTAATTTTATCATGAGACCATAATGAAGTTTTGATGAGACATCTGGCTCAGAATTCACATGTACAACATAGGCAGATGTTTAAAAACATAAAGAAAAAAAAGAAATAAAGATTCCTTAGAGAAAACCTTAAAAGTATAAAACACCAAATATTAAAAACCTTCTTAACTCTTCAAATAAACATTTATAGAATATATAAACCTACTTGGGAGAAAAAAAATGGACATTGAAAAGTAACTTGTATTAACATGAAGTGCAGCTTTATTGAAGCAGTCTGTAAAATGGGCTGATGCTTTACTTTATTATCAGGAAAGTTTAGAGTAAGAGATAATTTATGTACCAGGTTGTAAAAGCTGTAAAAATTTTAGAGGTACTAGTTCAAGTTAAGTGATATTAAAATTCAAAATACTGGTTCAATATTTGGCATATACTGTAGTTGATTAATTTCTTTTTTCTCTTTTAAATAATATAATGAAAATTCTGGTTGGGGTCCCGTTTTTCAGGAACAAGCTGATGCAACAGACACACATGAAACAAAAAATAATAATGTAAATAAAAGAAAAATTAAAAACAATACAGAGTGAAAAATGGACTATATATTGAAATGCTAAAACAGTAGAAGCATAGATATAAATCCTAAGTATGATGTGATGGTGCAAAGGTTTCTACATTCATGTCAAAATGGACTCTTTGCGAGTAAAGTTGAGATGTTGAGGATGCAAAGGTTTGAAATGGTAGGAAATGGATGGATGTCAGAATGTTGAGGAGGAGGAGGAGATTGGAGGGGCTTCCACTGCCTGCCTCTTATTGGTCGGGCATGACGACATGATCCTCCGATGCTCCCTCCTCCTTCCATCCTGCGCTCCCCTCTGCTCCCACCACCCCTCCCTTCAGCTGTGCTCGCCGTGCTCTCTGCCCAGCTTAGCGGTTGCTATCCATATCACAGCAGGAGCATCGACTATAGCATTAGCAATCTGAACCACAGGGGGAAAAAATCTGTTTTCTGTTCTTTTTTTCCTCTTCATCTTTACCTCCCATGGATGCCTGCTCGAAGCCTCTTCTTTTCCTCCCTTCTCCATTTTCCTGCCTTTTTGCCTCATCTTGCTGTTTTTCCTTATTTACCTCTGCTCTTTCCGGTGATCATTTGTTTCTACCACACGTTACTCCTGTTCACCACCCAGATACCTGCAATGGAGCTGCTCCTGACAGCCATTAGCTTTTAGCTGTTAGCATCACAAAGAACGAGGGAGGAACAGTTCATTGGATACAGTGATGTTTCTTTGCATTGCCTCGCCCCAGCTGCCTGCCAAGACCAACAATTCTGTCAGTGCTACAATATCCACTCATGCAAACACTCAACCATCAGCCTGAGTGGGTCAGAGGTAGAAGTAACTTCCCTTCTGAAGAAGCTGGCTTCATCTGAGAGATCCACTAACTGATATAGACCGGCCGTCTTCTGCTAATAGGATTCTGTTGGAGGCGCTGGAGTTATAAAGCTGGAGCAGCTGACTAAAATATGCTCTAACTGGTTAATCCTGCTTGGATCTGTGCTGAATTCTTATCAAAGCAATAGATCTGTGACGAGAAAAATCTTTGAGGAAAGACCCTGCTTGTTTTCTACTGCTTCATTCTTGTCTTTGTGCACCATTCGTTTGCGTGTGACTGAGTCCAGCACCCACTCAGCCATAAAGTAATGCTGAGCATCATCTCCTGCAGGCTGAGAAGTCCCACATTTCCAGCTTTAACAAACCGCATCTCATCTGTCTCTGCTGTGCCGCCTGCCCTGACTGTGCAAGCTTGAGAGTGGATGAAGAGCTGTTTTTGGTTCAGTTCATTTTGCTCTTCTAAGAGGGCTAAACCGTGTTAAGGGAGGCCTCGTTTCAAAAAAAGGAAGACTCAGTTGATTTTCTATGTCCTTACCCTGAGCAGTAGGGATTTTCATCTCTGTTGTCGGAAGGGATTTGAAAATTAATGTAAAAGGAGACATCAAAGAAGGTGGGGTTCTTATCACCGCTTCAGTTTCAGAGCAGCAGCCCACGTGTTGAGCCACTTTGTTGCTAGGCGACGGTGTACTGGACTGGAAGCGGTTGGAGTTTGCAGAGAAAGCTTAAGTGTTGGAAGTGTGACTGGATTTTAGAGGAAATAAAAAAAAACCCGTAGGACTCGGCATAATGCCTACATGTGCATCAACTCAGCATTTTCAGACTGTGATTCTGAGGCATCAGGGAGCCAAACTGTGGCTTTGACAGTGGCACAAGCTGAGGGGCCACATGTGATGCAAGGGATCTGCCTGCTGAGCTGCTGTGTGAGTCTGGGACACTGGATACCTCGTTTTGTTCTGGTGTCTCTGTCTGATTTCTAACGGACACCAGGCGGGGAGAACTCTGAAAGATCTGGTCAACTTGAGCTGATCACACCCCATCATTGCTGTTCAAACATCACCAGGAGACACCCTGGAGTCAGCTGCCAACCTGGCCCCGGAGCGGGACAACCCCTCTCCCCTGCCCTGTCCTACCCCACCCCCATCTCCACCACGTTCCCCTCCGCCCTACCCTCGCCCTATTCCGGCCCTGAACCCCCATCTGACACTCCCGTCAGCATGCAGGGCAATAGAGGATGCAGAGGGAAAGGAGGAGGAGAGCTCCCATGGCAACCAAACTGCAGCAGACCCCTACTGCAGGGTCATGGATCTTCTTGGGATGGGGCACAGACTCTTCGTCCCCAGGCTGCTGGCGGTGAGACAAGACAAACAGGAATACATTTCTGGATAAAAATCTTTGAACGTGCATTGCTGATGATATTTTTTAAACCAAATTTTGAGAAAATTGTTGCCAAAGATAGACAGCATAAAAAGGCTGCATTTCCCAGACAATGGTTTCCGTTTCATAATTGTATTAACTGTGGTTGTAGGTGGATACATGATAACACGCTCCTTGAACAGAGACTAAGTCTGCCTCCTTAAAACATCTTCAGGCTTAGTTTAAAGATGAAAATAAGGCTTCTTCCTTCTGTTTTCCTTTTCATGGCATCTAGCCTTTGGCAACCTTTAAAATCTCCTAGAATCTTAATTCTTCTAACAAGAATAGGTGCAAAATTGTCCAAAAGATTTATTCAAAGCCTGTAGTCATTTAGGAGATTTTGCTTAAGATTTTGACAAAAATTAAAAAACAACCAAATGTAGTACCATTCACATCCAACCAAATACTTTTTTTTTTTTAGTTTGATGAGATAGACCAGAGTGCATTTAAAAAGCATAAAGAAAATAATCCTTGATTTGCAAACCAAAACAAACCCCAAAACAACTGAAATGCAAATATTCTAAATTTGTATTCAGATTTCTGACTCAACACCTTGTTGACCTACAGTACCTTCTGCTGCATGTACATCTGTGTTTGTGTCAGTGTAAGCCTTGGCCAGCTTAGTACATCTAAGGACTGAAACTTTTTGCCCAGACTTTGGCTCAGTTTGGTTTATCAGAAACTCTGTTAGATTTAGGTCTAGATTTTGAGTTAACAATTCAAACACGTGAATATGTGGTCATCTGTTCCAGTGTTATATGTTTAGAGTAACCATTATGTTGGAAGGTGAACCTCAAACATCAGCAAATATATGACTTACAGAACTTCCTTTAAATTGTTGAAGAAAACCGTCCTGTGTTTAAGCTTATATGCCATATTATGTTTCCACTACATGCAGTATTTTGTGTCTAGACTAAAAGATGCTTTGCTCAAATCCGACCATCAGATAACCCCAGACACATTTCTTGGCTTGTAGCAAAATTGAAACAGAACTGCTTAACGGTTCCCTCTAGTATTTTTTCACAAACTTCCTAAAGTAGTTTGCTGGAATTTTAGCCCATTCCTCCTAACAGAACTGGTGTCACTGATATATGTCCCGGCAATGGTTTTCACACACGTCTTTTCAGGTCTGTTCACAAGTTTTTTATAGGTCTGAGGTCAGGGATTTTAAAAAATTTGAAGCAGTGTAGATCAGGAAGTTGGAGTCAGATCCTGTGTAAATTGGGGGTTTGCCTCTTTTTAGCTAATCAGGTTGTTTGGTTTATGGTTAATATAGATTTGAAAGACCCTTTTAAGCCCAAGCTTTGCCTTCTGGTCTGATATCTTTGGAAGATGCATCAAGTTTAACTTTCTTCAGTTAAAATATTATCTAATTTTTAAAAATTGCACGTATCCCTCCTGCACCCAAACACTCATACAAGATGATGCTTCAGCCCCCATATTTGTCTCTTATGATGGGGTTCTAATGCTTTAACAATGTGATGCCACTTTGTTTTGGACAGTCACACCAACTCCCATAGAATATATTGATGTTTGTTGTTGTAACATAGGAAATTGTTAAAAGTTTAAGTGGTATAAATGCTTTTGATCTGCAACACATTGTAGAAGTGGACAACGTGGGGCTTTGAACACTTTTAAGTAATATGTGTATAGTTGCATACATTAGAGTGTGAGTGAGTCTGGACTGACTGAGGAGGATTGTAAGAAAATGTTGATTTTAATAGTTTGCATAGTTCTTAATATTAGTTTTACACAGTTGTGTTCTTAATTCATTAATAGTCTTTCATGTAAACAGAATCAATATTTCATGTAATGAGCTGCATGATGCTAACCTTGCAGTGAATCAAACTGATTGTGTGTATGTGTGAAACATGACAGGTGAAGCTCACTCATTTTGGTGTTGGTGTCTCATCCCTCTCTACTCCTCCCACTTCTTCATATCTCCTTTGTAGACATCCAAAGAGGACCTCCTGCAGGCAGACTTTGAGGGGGCCCTCAAGTTTTTCAGAGTGCAGCTCCCTAAGCGCTACAGAGCAGCAGAGAACGCCCGGCGGCTTATGGAGCAGGCCTGCAACATAAAGGTATGAGAGAACACCAGAAAACTAAAACACGAGTCAAGAGCATGCTTTTTGTCTCTCCTCTAAAATCGTACTTTTATTTAAGTGTCTAAAAAAATTACAAAGGTAAGTAGAAATCTTCAGATAGTCTAATAAAACCTGTCCCAGCTTTAATGACTGTTTACATGCTTTTATTTACACTATGTGCATTTGAAGCCTTTGAGTTTCAATGATTCAACAGTTTTTAACTGAAGTGGTTAAAAGAAAATGGAAAAAAGCCTAATATTTTAATTCATTCCTGACCGTACAGTACAGTAAACGACATGCTTCTCTACCGTCTTTCTTGTACATTAGAGTTTAACTGTTATTCAGCTTAGTAGGGAAATAGCAGGTAAACTATGGCTACAGTGGATTGTAGTCCTAGTTTGAGTATCTGTTGACATTAAAATTCTTCTTGCTGCTCACATAATTATCCTACTGCTGACCTGAAAGGAGGCTGCTGGTATTTAGGGAATTTGTTGAAGTCATCAGAGACCATAGCGGTACAGCGTGTTCTCGATATGTATGTATGTGTGTCAGCAGTGTGTGGAGTGATAGGATAGATGAAGGACAAAGTTAACCAAAAAGAATCTTAATAACGCTTTCTCATGCTATTTCTGGGCTTCTTGCACATATTCTGTGTTCATATATCACTGTATGAACATACTGTAAGTATTTATCTTGTTCTTTTTATGTTTTTTAATAAGAAAAACAATTGATTAGTTTTTTAAATACTTGTTGAGCTTCAGTTTAGACAACAAAGGAAAGTACAATCCCTTAGCAAAAGTAATGAGCTCTGAGTATTTTTACCACCTAATGTGTGACTCTTTCTGTGTTTTAAGTACATACAGGATGTCCACTGTGTGATTCACCCCTTATCTGTTGCGTTACTTGTGAAATCTAGCAGCAGTACTCTGTTTGCAAAAGTAAAAACACGCTCACGTATGCATGAATATGCAGAATAGTTTGCCTTTTTAAACTTTACTTAAAGGCACAGACGGCTTTCTGTTCTAGCAATTGTTTTTGTTTTGTTCAAAAGTAAATGCAAAGTCATACAATTGATGCAATTTCTACAGCTGATTTAACTATTGCTATACTCTTCTGATCTGTTGAGTTATATATACATGTAATGTTTGTATATCTGGAGCGTGTAACAAAAGTAATTTCCTTCTTGGATTATTAAAGCATGTCTGATTCTGATATATTTACCTTGTTTCAGGCAAGCTTTCTTGAACAAAAATAGCTGCTTTGCAAAATGCTCTTGCAAAGCATTGTGGGATTAAATATGCTCATCTAGTGACCATGGATGATCACTACTTTTCAAGGTGTATTGTGGGATATTTTTAGTCCACTACTTTTTCATCCACTAGATGTCCAGACACTCATAAAAAATGGCATAACCCCTAAAGTATAAAGTACTCTATATAGTGGTAGGGCTGATGTTCAGACACAGCTTTAGAGCTAAAACAGAATAAGGCTTTAATCTGTTCATTGTTCCTGATAAGTGTCTAGTAAGAAATGAGTAACCAAATACTACTCTCATTTAATACTTATGAGATGAAAAAATACAAGTCATAAACACATCTCTTGGTTTAAAAAAAGCTTCCCCATTGAATCCATTTCCTTCATCTGTTATATTTTTAGACCACTTTCAGGCTTTAAAATAGAATCCTCCCTGTGGATGAGCATGAAGTGAAACATCATTTTATCTTTATCATGAAGAGATGAAGATAAAAAGATGGCTGTCATGCATTTCATGTTCTACTCCTCACTCTTTTCTCACAACTGTCTTATCCATTGAACTTCAAAACCCCTGTAGGTCAAAACACGTCACATCAGCTCTCAGTATGACATACATTTCTCAAAAAGGTTCATAAAATCCTTTCTATGAAAAATTCCCATGCATAATAGTTTAAATGTCAGTCAGCACATACACGATTTTTTTCATGTTTAAACAAAATCACTATTTTAGCAAGCAGAGAAAAATTCTGTTATCCTTTATTTGCTTCCTTCGTTTTATAATTCCCTCTTTCCAAACAACCTTCCTTCCTTCCTTCCTTCCTTCCTTCCTTCCTTCCTTCCTTCCTTCCTTCCTTCCTTC